GATGTTCTCCGCTTGGCTCAATCATATCTACTCTTTCTTTTTATGCATGTCGATGTCTAATAGAATAATACAAGGGACCAATGTACAACGAATGAGGAATAGAACATATGTAGCAGACTACATCTTTTAACTCTTGTTTTCCTCTCTCTCTCTCTTCTCTTCATCCATATGGTATCAGATAGAATAATATCCCTTCGATGGAGTATGAGTATTATGATTGAAAGACATGCATCTCATACACCTATCCAATTATTTACTTTAATCCGTACATTATTTTTTAGAACAAGCTGATTTTTCATGTAAGGTGAAATATATATATTTATTTATTTATTTATCTATCTATTTATTTATTTATTTATTTATTTATTTATTTATTTAAGATAACCATTAAGCTTTCATCTTCTATTTCTGCTCTCAACAATTTTAATATCACATCTAGTTGTTCTACCTCGAACAAAATATTTAAGTCAAGTCACATCTTGGAAAAGAATCAAATCTTTCATATTGATCAACATCATTTTTTTCATCTACCATGTAGACGCTAATATCGCCTTGCACTTCAACACCTCTCCAAATCTTGAATGGCCATTTACATTCAATAGTTTATACATCCAATAGATCTTTCATTATTCTACACTACCAAGATCTACAACTTTTCATTCTAGAAGTAAATCGTTTGCAACTACAACTTGTTCTTGTTCTGCCAATCTACTTTGTAGAATGCTTAAACTCATGAATAAGAATCAGTCACCTCCAAAATATACTATAGATTACTTCATGATGAAGCATTAGAGACAAATCCAAATCTTTGAATTAAAATGATCTAATTATAGTATATTGAAGCAAAAAAAATTAATCTTTATTATATAGCATGATCATATTTACCATAATTTCATGATTTTTTTATGATTTTTCATCAGATCAGTCTCCAAATAAGCATCATGTAGCACTCATCTAACTATTCTTTCGTAACTAATCACCGCCTATCTTATCATCTGATTTGGTTCTTATCTTGCTATTACTTTTTGTGATTGTGATGATGCTTCATCTTTATTTTTGTCTCCACCAATTTGTGATGAAAACACAATCATAGGAATGCATTTTGTAGGCAAAGAAGCTAAAGATAATGTGATGGTTCTTTCATCTTTTATGTTGAAAATACTTCTTACCAAATATCAACTTCCTGCCATGTGAATTTAGTTTTGAGATGGAAATGCAAGACGATCTTGACTTTTCTTCATATCAAATGATGCTAACTTTTTCAGATTAAAAATTTTATGACCTCCTATAGTATTTGGAAGATAAGCAGAGGTTGGACAAAAAAGCATATTTCAAAATTTAAATTTCATTCTTCTTGTTATTACATTCTTTCATGGTATTTTCAAATTTTCGTTTTTAAGATTGTTCGCAGTTTGTATAAGCGTGATTAAAAACTCCATCCCAAGTTGATCTCTTTAATCATGCTTGTGAATTCATTTTTTAACCTTAGATGTTACATTACACATATTTTTTCTTTCAAACAAACAATTCCTAATTGTTATTATCAAATCCTTCATAATCCAAATGGGAAGTAAGTACATACAATGTTAAATTGGATGCTACCTTACACCTTATTCTTTCTTTCATGGTATCGATTCCTTATTCTTGTACTCAAATACTACTTGATCCAAATACAGAATAAGTGCACACATTTCATTATATGAGTACATACAAAGACTTCAGCATGTCAATGATATTATCTTCGCGTTTTGATGTTACAAAATAAGCTGCATATCAAAATAAAACTATATCAGATTCTCATATTATTACAAAAAACTTGTGAAATAACTTACCTCTTATATTTCAATGCTTCAATTTGTGCGAGATTACTTCTTAAACATATGTATTTGGAGTGATACTTTTCATCAAAAGCTTTTTACATAGTCTAATGATACTTTAAAATACCTTCATCATGATTTGTGACATGAACTCTTTGAGCATGAATGTTTTGAGTGATATCTCTTGATCACAAACTTCATAAAATCCTTATGACTCTTTTGAATACTTTCACCATTTTTGGAAGTATATTTATCTAAAACTCAACGAGATGATCTAACCTTCTATGTTCTAATTTCTTTTCCTTCACGTCAGAAAACTTTGTATATAGTAGCATCAACACATCCATTTTGAACAATCTATATCTTCTATATGTTCTGCAAGGTTTCCTTGTACCAAAAAGGTACATCGAAACATACTATTGCGAGTTTATTTACTATAACTCTCACACAATGTGTACATGTCTAATATTTTCAAGCACCTTGAGTGTGATTTGTCACTAGTATTTTATCCCAATTACACCACATCAATCCATACTTCTAAAGATGAGACTTTCATAACTGATCCACATCCTACAAAGATCAACACCTTCTTCGTGAACCCAAAAATATTACTCTCATAATTCATATGAGTCATATGAAGACAGTTTAATTATTCTTCTCACAATTCTCATTTCAAAACGTATGTTGCTCTATGATTATTTTTTCACTGTTCAAAGTGTTTTCTTGAAGTGTGTTAGCTATCCCTTTAACACTCTCTTGTTAGAGGAAGGGACTGTGGAGTAGCTGTCTGAACCCGATGTTTAAAAAACCATGGTGATGGAAGACACTTCAAAAGAATTTATATACGAATCCCAAATCTCTGCTGGAGGAGAGACTTAGATACTTCAGGTCACGTATTCTGGAAATGTCTGAAACATCAAAAAATTGGTGGGCTAAAAAGAAATGGGAAGAATCAAAGAATACTTTCCATCCCAGCAGATCAACTTTGCAGAGGCACAAATCGGCAGCTTGAAGCTAGCAGCATAAAGCGAAATAGGAAAACCAAAGATGGTATAATTCTTCGTGTAAACGATCCATGATCTATTTATTATATATGCTAAGCCTTCACAAGGTCGAACCTCCATCAACAAACGTGGAATGCACGTCACCAAATACAGATTAATGGTGAATAGTCATATCGACTTCTTGAATAATGGCATCACAGAGCAGGTTGGCATTACCCCAACGGAATCCAACGCCAAATAGGACGGGGATCGACCACACGAACAAACGTAATTTAAGAAGATCCTGAAATAATCGTTTTTTTCAAGATTTCACGTACACTCAATGAAACCACCTCCAACCCCCAAGTGCAAGAAGTAGAAAATCAGAAGCCCACAAATAACGCATTATCTTGACCAAAAAATCAACTCTGATATGTCAAAAGCTAGAGTCCTTGCTGCGATTAGGAGTGCAGTCATAGATTCGTAGTGCTCTACTCTTACTGCTCTTTCCATTTCCGAATAGGAACACTAAGTATCTAGGAATCGTGTCTCTAATTACTTGGTCCTAATCATAGTTACCATGGTGGCACCTCCCTCAACTGCAGTACCTAAGTTAGTACATAGCATGATCTCCATATAGTGAGATGGCCTTGGCAACCGATTGATCGTGTTTAATTTCATGAATAATCTACCACGTTGGTTTACATGAATACAAACTGTTCAAATTATTGTTTAATATACTTTACTCAGTGTGAGCCCATTATTGTACAAAGATCATTAGTCGTCTCGATCCATGGTATCAATTTATTCCACTTTGCATTCACTAGTATATCCAGAGCCTTTGTTATGTTTTGATCAAATCGATACATTGATGATGCAGTTTGATGTGGCATCCAGTGTAAGTGGTATCGGGACTAACCACTTCCTCTTACCCTACAACAACTTGAAGGAATCTTCCCATCTTTTGGCTATATGACTGATTAGTTTTCGTTGCGATTATTTCATACTTAATTTGCTTACGATGAAATAATCTTAAATTAGCGTGCATGCTGTCATGTCCTGTGTTGGCTAGTTACAGTATTTATGAATCTTCGTGAGGGTATAACCTATCGATACGGGACATATGGATATTAAAATTAAACATATTTAATCGAACGATTTATCAAAATATGAAATATTAATTACCGATATTCTCAAGATGGAAAAATGTTAAATTTTAAACATATATATTTTGATTATACTAGACGTTACATATTGAAATAATTCACAGTACAGAATACTATATATATATATATATATATATATATATATATATATATGGTATTGCGAATTGTAACGATATGTAAGGTTAATTATAAGACATGAAGAATGAGTGCGAGCAGACGGCGTCTTACGGCATTCCGGTACTGTGTTATTGGGCAAAACAAAATTTCTGTGTAGACTACAGTCTACAACCTTTCTATACTCCTCATGTGAAGTCATCACGCTGTCTGTTCCAGTTCCACTTTTGGTTTCCTTTCCGTTTTTAGGGAAACTTCAGTATGAAGGCGAAGAGATCGATGGCAGCGCATCACTTCTGCGTCTTTTCTTCGGTGCGCGGCTCGTGGCGGATGTATTCACCCATCGGCCATCTGCCGTTTCCTCTCTGGATATGTCAACAGACTGGTGTTCGTGCGAGAACATGGACTGATGTCAAAAATCATGTCAACGACCCATCTTAACGGCCGGCCTTCGGGCCCATGCACGGCAGAGAACTTGCCCACTTTGCGAACAAGAAGCGAACTTGCCCACCTTTGCCCTTATGTGCGGAAATATCTGTCGACCGAGATAAAGTTTCCTTTAAGACGCGTCACGCGTTCCTGGTTTCGGTCGTGTTCATGTTATGGGAAGATGAGGACCACGTCGACGCCTTCCCACATCTGACACAAAAAGGGCGAAACCACGTGCCGGTTTGTGTCGATGATGTGCTTCAAATTGAGTTGCTGAGCATCCCAACGTGGAATTTCTACTTTAGTGGCGAACTGTCTAGAGGATACAAAACGCTGCGGGCAGAAGACAATAACGAACAAAGAGACGCCAAATTTGACGTGCTACTAAGCACGACAGAGCAGATATTAATGCAGATATGACACAGAATGTGTTCCCCAGGTACTGGGACAAGATCTGGAAGACCAGGTTATCGATACACAAGAAATCACTTCAACTTTGACGATTCCGTCGGTTCTGTACAGTCTACGAACCAGTAGTGTTTTATTAACCAAATAACCCGCCTATCCGCGGGTTAGTCAATGTCCATGTAGTGAAACCTCAGATCCTATTTTCTTCTCCTTCCAGAATCTGTGTAAGTTCTTACACAAATATTGGTGGAATTCTCTCGTCCAACCCCAAGGCCCGTTGCCTGGAGGAGGAGTACAACAGCCGATAGTCAAAACTGAAAAAGCATCCAAATGCTTCCACAGCGTAGCTGATGATTTCAGCGAAGCCACGTCCAACCGTCTGCATGAGGAACTGCCGAGGTAAGACCTCCACTACGCTGACTGCACGATTTAGGTTTCAGACGATAGAGGTCGAACTCTATCACCAGCTTGCTGTGGGGCAGCAATAGGTTGCCACCAAAAAAAACCTGCTGTAGCGTCTTCCTGCGAGCAGGAAGACGCCCACAGCTTTCATCACGTTCATGACCTCGATTACACCGACTAACCTCGACTGCACATCCAGATTCAGGCTGTAGTAGCGGCCATCAGGCATCCGACCTATCCTTTGGGCTGCAGAAACAGCAGTGAACCACCTATGCTTCCTATTAAACCTTTCACTGGAGGTGGAACGAGTTACATTCCAAAAAACAGAGTCAACCCGTACTCCAGCTCAGAACCAAGCCTGCACACAAAGTAAAATAAAGTTATGACAATGAGAGAAGCAAATTACCAAAGTAAGTCACGACCTTTCCACGAGGCCTTCCATTCGATAAGTCGCTGGCCATGAGACTTTCGAAGACAACTTGTCTAAGTACACACAACACGGTAAAAATACATGGACTCGGTTCAGAGATAGAACCTGAAAGATAAACATTCAAGGTAAAATGCTTCACGCAAGAGCTTTGACGAATTGCATGGGCACAGCGATGGTCTTCCACCGATAGAAACGTTTGACATTTACAGATGTAGAGCATTCAACCTCACCAGCAACCTGAACCGAGAAAGAGTCGAGTCAGACCACCGAGCTCGATGTCAATACTAGAAGCGTTCTCCAAATACACGTGAGATGTAATATAAACAACTGGAGGTACACACAAACCTGATGAAGATACTGCCAGAGTAGAAATGCAACCCGTCGTGTGGATGGAGACAATTAATCAACCCATTCAGTCAAGTAATTCTCCGGCCAATCTCTGCAAGAATCTCTGCTCCATGGTGTTGATATGCGCTTGGCGTATTGCCGGTGGATTATGCACATTCAATGCAGGCTGCTGAAGCAGTCCTATCAGGATGTTGACTCTCGCTTCATCCCCAGCCTTTGCATGCATATTCACTAGAAGCTCCAATATAGGAACCTGTATGAGGAACGAGAAGTTGGAGCAAGTCAATACACATTCTTCAGATGAAGCATGATTCTTTGAGGCAGTATGTCCTCGACATAGGCAACGGCCAATAAAGACGGGTCTTTGACCTCGCCTCCTAGGTCAACAGGAAAGCTCAAATGATCACAGATGCAAAAGTAGATACCCGATATGCATGACAGTAGGCCTACAACAAGCTAAGCAGTAAAGGAAAGGAAAAAACAGAAAGAGTAACACTTTACATGCAAGGGCCTTCAATTATCCAGGACTTACACTATAGAACGCTATGGCTTTCAACAAGAAGGAAGAGATAAATACCTCCCATAGGCACTCGAAGTAAGCAGCTGCATCCCTATCAACAATCAGTGTGTTCTCTTGCAGTATTCGGAACGCGGTTTCGTGCTCAGGAGTGTTTGGGCATTGACACAGAACAGCAGCCTGCACACCGGCTCCTATCGCTCGGCATGCAGCCACCATTCTCTGTATCTGGACAAAATCACAGGTGGTCAAAATACACATTAAAAAAATAGCAAACTCCTGTCAATTTAACCACAGGCGAGAAAAAGAATAATGGCCACCTCTCGGGCACCACAACATAAGAACCGTAAATAGTTCGGACCAGATTACATAAGACTTTCAAAAAACACTATGTAATCACAGTACAATAAAGCGGGCAGACACATACCACCCAACGAGTGAATATATCACGGCACATTGACGCGGAGCGATCGCAATAGTGAGCACTTCGAACAGCACCAGCCTATGAAATCAAGATATAACCACGGTTAACAAAGGATAAAATGAACTATTAAAGTTTCATCTACGTTGATTATCTGGTTACTCACGACTCCTCTGCTTGCGAAGAAAAGTTTAGCGACCAGAGAAAAAATACATGAGCGCATGGGAGCAATTCATACTTAAAGAGTCAGTATTGAAGATCATGATGAAAAATGAGCGCAATTCCTCACACACAATAAATAGCCCATAGTTTCATTGTGCCTAACACGAACCTGCAGATACAAGCGCAAAGCTCTGACGTGTGACTCATCTTCGAAAGCCAGGTCAGCCAATCCTTGGAGCCAACGATGTCCCTTCTCTCTATCTCCTTCAACAACGCCAGGAATGCTCACAATAGCCTCCAGTAAAACCCCGAACAGATCTCTCCCCCAATCGGGTGAAACTCGAGGGGGCACTGGTCGTAGTACCGAGGCTGAATAAGGTAGTGACCCGGGGGGAGGAGGAAGAGCAGCGCCGGCTGTGACGCCAGCTAGAACCCCGTACCTTTCCACAGCAAGGGGCCACGTTGACAAGCCCGCAGCATGACATCGATGAAGCCAACCAGCTGTCAAGCTTGCGAGGGCCATAAGAGCACGAGGGTTAGCAACTTTCGAGATTAGAGGAGCTCCTGCAGCACCAGTGTAGAGAGGTGGAAGGTTCAGTCCAGAATGAGTTGCTCTCCAGTCCGGAGCATGATCGCTTCCTTGACTCTGTCCATCGGTCTCAATACCTGTGAGTACGCACATAAAGTCCTCAAACAGCTGTGACAATTTTGATCCAAGGCGTGCCACGTCTTCATTGAAGTGATTACGTGAAGTTTCTGCTTGAAGAGATATGCATAGAGGCAACAGATCACTTAAAATAGAGCCCAATTTGACAGTGTGTAGTAGCCTTCGGTGCTTTTGCTGCCCATGTACTGTTGCCGTCTTTGTACTGCTCTCACTGCGGGTCCCATTGGTTTCAGGACCTCCAGTGCCCGAATCGCTTCCGCTCTTCGTGTTCAGCTCACTATCTCTCGATATGGTCTCTTTCATTAGGGACAACACCCACTTACAGAGCTCGGACAAAAAGTGCCACAGCTCCTTCTCGATAAGAAAGAGAATAGCGAAGTCCAAAAGCTCGGAATTTGGTAATAACGCTCTTTCACACTTCATCGGTAAAGATCTGCTCCACTGGCTGCTCGCTAGTAAACTTCGTCCCTCAGACAATGCCTCTGATCTTCCCTCCGTATCAGCGGTCCTCTCGAAAAGCCATAACATCATGGAAGAGTCGATGTCGTCGGGTACAAGTCCCAAAGACAATTCGTAGAAACGCGATGCCTCTTGTGTCTCTCTGGAAATGTCCAGAACAGTAAAAGCTTGACGTTTCAGAACAGTAGCCACATCATCCTCAAAATGTGGAACTTTGTACACAGTGTAAGGTGTAGATACACTACGGACTTCGTCGTAGGTCAGCATTAATCTAGAATTGGTAGCTTGTACCTGGTGACTTCCAGAGGGCTGCGAAAGGGTTTTTGACTGCGGTGGAGGAAACAGACTACACTCATGAGTACTGACAGTGTCCACAGGCTTTTTCTCGGATATAACTTCAGGTGAACCCTGCTGTGCGTCTGTAGATACTTCCTTCGATGCGGCACCTCTTCCTTCCGACCTAATCCTTTCAACAATAGCTTCAATGTCGGTGAGATCCTCGAGTTCCAAAAGACACATGAGAATGTCACTCTGAGACATTACCTTCATTTCCTCCATTTTCTTCGAACCCGACTCTATGTAGCCGTTCGATCCGGAAGCTGTATTTACAAAAGTCGCTGATGATTTCAATGGTTTGAAACAATGAGAAGGAAATGGGCTAGTGAACCTAGGAAGGTCTGTCTTTTTTGCCAACCGATGTTTAACAGCACAGTCCCAACACCAAGGTTCGTCAATTACAGAACAAACGTACATGGCAAGATCATGCACGCGTTGCAGAACTAGAGAACTGGTTTCGCCTGACCCTTGGACAATCTGCACCTGTTTAAAAAAGCCCAGCTTGTTGAGTCGCTCTTTTAATCTGCAGTCTAGTACATAAGACCCAGTCGATGGAGGCAGATTACCTTCCTCCACTACCTTGATGGCCTGCAAAAGTCGCATTAGGAATCCAATAGCGTCCCTGCTATCTTCAAGTTGGTCACTTATTCTTAAGAACATCTCAACCGAAGCTCCCTCGAGAACGGACCTCACTACATTACAGGCAGCAACTTTCAAACGGTCGAGTTTTGTCAGTGTGGAGTCTTTCTCCACAGACAGGCAGTAAGCCCACGAGAGATGTCCTCTGAGAACGTCTTCACAAAAGTTCTGGGTCAAAAGTCCTTGGGTCGATCGCCTCTCTGTATCCGTAGACTTCACTACACTGTTCGGATCATACAGTGAATCTTCAGCTGATTCGACCTCCAGATCCACGATCAATCTAAACTGTGCACCATAACCTGCGTCAGACATCACTTGTTCCTTCTCTCGAGCAACATTCTGCTTCATTTGACTGTGACAGTTGTCAATCGCAAGTCTTTCCTCTTTACTATGCGCAGCTGTCTGCTCCGTCTTTGTCCCATTTACTTGTAAACATTTCGTCTCATGAACATCGGTATCTGATCCATTCGTAAAGTTCTCCTTCACCACAACTCCACTGTCTCCACCACGCTGCAGTTCCTGAGGGTCTGGCTTTAGACCATGATGACGCTTAGCTTGAACTTCAATTTCGTTACAATGAGTTTGTACATTCTCAACCTCGAAGACTTTTGGTCCCGAATTCCCGTTAATATCTCCAGTGTATTTAGAACTCCTGCTCCTTTTATTCTGCCGATATGATGCACCATCATCGGCCATCCTAACCCCGTTGTTTGCATACGCTCCTTCATCCTTCGTGACTTCTGAGTTCTCTCTTTTAAGCAAAGTTTCCCTGCAAACTACACCGTCGCTACCAGGTCCACTGTAAGGACTGTCAACCCTGCTACAGCTCCTAGACATCCACCGACTCTTCTCACAAGCAATAACAGACAGCTGTTGCATAGATGGAGCACCAAAACTTGGGTCAGGTTCATTAAATGTTGAAACATTTAAAGACACTTCAGCCGCTGTTTCGGTCAGTGTGGCACTCTCACTCAGTGAAGCACCAGATAGTAACATCCTACATGCCACGATAAATCCGGCGAGTCTATCCTCGGGTACGGGCATTTCCTGATGTAAAGAGTTCGTGGAGGAGGTGATCATTGAGGTTACAGAACTGTCTTCGCCGTATTGTTTCCCCGGAATTCCCTTACGAGAACTCAAGAATGTCAACGATTCTCTACACTTATCGAAAAACTCATAAGCTTGCCTAATTCGACCTCTCATAAAATGTACCTCTGCAACGTCAAACAGGACCTGGCATTTATAAGCTGTACTTAGAAGCTGTTCCTTGTCGGATCCCCCGTTTTCGCATGATTGAGGAGAATTCGATTTCGTACGCGACTTTGCAGACACTTGGATGGGTTCTCCTTCCTCCTCTTGAGCCCCCTGCTCTATAAAGTCCTCATTTTTTAACACCTGCTCTAGAAACTCCAAAGAAGGTTGTTCCTCCTCGATGCGGCTTTCTCCAGCCCCGCAAAACGAGGCCGTGTCTCCATTACCATTCACGATATTGTGGAAGACTTCACCCAGATCGTCTCCGGCCGTCCAATATCCAAGACGAGGTGTCGGAGAAGCTGCATTGGGTGCAGCAGACCCGACAGGATAACACTGAAGGGCTTTATGAAGCAACCAACGGTGGAGGTTGCATTGATGCAATAATGACCTACCTTCATCGTGCTTAATTAACGTCTTCAGCAGCACGAACTGATGCTGCTGAGATGCTAAGGATAGCTCGATTTCAGACAATGTCATCTGCGCAGCTACTGCCACCCGAGCTGCTCTTTCGCAAAGTACAGAGGCCGTCTTACTGGCGACTTTGATTGAGCCTTGTGTTTCCTACACGGCCATGCAAAATTGTCAAACCACAAAGGCTCTCAGGTCTACGCTGCTTGGAATAGGAAACCATGAACATGGCTGAGAATGTAGAAAGTACTGTCAAATCGTAACAACATACAAAGACCTAGAAACCATGTGAATTTGACAAGTATTCATGACAGTAATTAAAAAATTTCAAGACCTATACGTGGTTCATTACTTCTTATGAGTCAAGTCTCTACATGTTGCTAACAAATGCCTGGTCCACGCTCAACGTGCCGACAGCATATATTTTGACATCGACATTACATGTTTTCAAAAACAAGTTAAAACCGAGAGGGAAAGTGTTCTAACTACAGCTCGGTAGCTACCAGCTTTCAATTTGAACTATATCGTTCCAAAGTCCCTTTCAAGACTGAATACGTAAGAATCATCACATTAAATTCACACACTATGTATGACTTTGAATTTCTGACGAAAAAGTGCACAAAGCACACATTATTCGGCCAGAAATGCACGTACACCGGAAACCTAAGTTTAAACATTCGCTACTGAGTCGCTCTCTAGCATAAACCCTAAACAATGTTCTTAATTCGCGGTTGTCCCTGTGGAACACCTTCGAATGAGAATTGCAGAAAAGTGTCCAAAATTGAGAGAATTCGCTCCAAATTTTTTTAATTCAGTTGAATGTGTAAAATTCACTCGACAGCCCAGGGACGAGAAGGCGCAACGGCTTCATATGCTTCATTCAGATAGTGGACAGAGAAAAAAAAAATGCCAATGTGTCAAAATTTATCTCAGAATACAAATTCAATGGGACAGAGTGTGAGCACGAGATTTACCGCATCTTTGCCGGCAATGTTGCCCGACGAACCACCGTTGAGCGCCTTCTGATTCAGAAGAGCTTGCTCCAAAAACATAGAAATAAGATCGGGAGGAGTGGGGATCGCCGCAGGACCCGCCGCCAGGTGCTCTTCCAGCTTGGGTGGCAGAAGTAAAAAATCGATCCAGAGAGAGGCGGCATCGCTGCGCGCCCCGACCCTTTCCCTTTCTCTCTCGCGATCCATGACACCTTCGCCTCTCTACATACTTGTCTACATCCCTCCTCTTCTTCCTCCGGCCTCCTCCGCGCATTCATCCTTCACACAAAATCGGGCTCCTCCATCATGCCCATCCCACCCTTCCCACGCCCTCTCCATCACTCACTCCCCCCCTCCCTCTCCCCCTTCTTCATGAACCACCAACAAGAACCAACTCCCCCACGCCCCTGCAGTGCAGATAATAAACAGGATAAGAAACTTCTCCCGCACTGCTCCTCCCCGCCCCCTCCTTCCACTCTCGCCCTCCCTTCGCCTTCTAATCAGCGACGAGCAATTCTCTCTTCATCATTCGATTCCCCTCGCATCCCCTCCCCTCCCCTCCCTCCCTCCCTCTGCCTGGACAACACCTCCTACAGGCGCACAGTGGTCGTTGAAAGGGTCTTCAAGAAAACGAACCCAACCCCACGCCAGAACCAAAACTGGACCTCCTCCTCCTCCTCCTCATGCTCCACCACCTCCAGTCGTCGGGCCCCCTCCCTCCCTCGCTTCTCCTCCTCCTTCACCATCTCCATTCTTCTTCTTCTCTTCTTCTCTTCTTCTCCGCCTCCTCCTCGTCCTCCTTTTCCTTCTCAATTCCCATCGCCTGCATGCGTCACAACCCTCTCACTCCTCTTGGCCTTCCGCCCTCCCTCTCTCTGCAGGCGCTGCTGCGGCTGCCCTCTCCTATTTATGGTCCGCCCCCGCCCCCCACTCCCAGGAATCCTCCCCTGGGAATCCCCCGGCCTCGGACTTTCTTCCGACGGCGAGTCAGACTCTGCGTGCCATCCCAGCATCGGACACATGGATGGCCCTGCCGCGGGGCGGACGGACGGTCGGACGGATGGACGGACGGATGGTGGTCGATCTCGATACGCGGTACTCAGACGGACAGAGATGGAGCCGTTATGAGGGAGGGAGGGAGGGAGGGCGAGAGATGGACGTCTGTTGCGCTTTTACTGTGGCGAGGGATGATGGATGTGACTGCGTTGGCTTTTGATTGCTTACAGCATCATCGCGTGCGTGCGCGCCCTTTGCCGTGCAGTTCAGTTCAGTTCAGTCCAGTCCAGTCCAGTACAGTAAAGTGCAGTACAGTACAGTCCATTGCAGGGCAGAGCAGTGCGGGGCAGCGTCCAACAGGACAACGGCCGAGAAGGTGAGGATCCGCCAGATACCGTACGCGAGTTTACTGTACACGTACGCATTCACGTCCAATGAGGTTCGACGAAAAGGTCTGTATACTAAGACGGAGTTCGGGGAGACGACATAATACTATGCCGTACCCGTAGCAGGACTTAGGTCGCAGCCAGGTCCCTCGGCCTAGCTGGGTTGCAGGTTCGGGGGCGGTTCCTACGTGGTGGACTTCCCGGGCCGAGTGCTGTGTCACCCTAACTGGTCAGGTTATCGATTCAGGTTACTGCATATACTGTATGTCGGGTCAGCGCGTGGTCTACTGAGGGTGCGACCAGATACTGGACAGCCAACGAAAGGGTGCTATTCTGATATAAAGCTTGAGAGTATCTGTTCTGTCCACTTTGTATCTGTTTCGTTCGATCTCCATTGGTTGTGTAGAAACAAATAATTGCTTCTTTCCTTGGTCTTCTCCCGCAAGTTCCCGCTTTAATTCGTAATTTTTTGACATGTTTTATAAGTCCTGGTTTCTTATTGTTTTCAGCTGTCATAATTTATTTGTTCAATGTACGGGAACATCATCATCTTACCAACACGATGCTAACTTCGAGCACAAGATTATTGAAGAGGCTAAAATTAACCCAAATCCTTATGATCACCTTATTTATGCCCCTTCTCGGGATTGCGATAAATGGATAGCGAGTCGATGGAGTCGTAAGCGAGTTCATGCAGTACAAGGGCTAGGACGTCAGAACCAAAGCCTTGTGAATATAAAAGACTTGGTGTAGATGAGAAACTTCCTAGAGAAAATCCAAAAATCAAATCGTGGAAAGGTTGAAGGGCATCACACAACCGTAAACGACTTTGTCACACTAATCAGGAGTACCCTTGGAGAGATGCGCAAAGCATAGCCATATGTGTGAATAGTTCACTTGAAACTTCATTGAAGTAAAGTTCGGTAACGTAAATATGAAGTTAAGAGCAGAGTTATTTTCTTCTGAAAGCAGTATTTAGAACTTAATCCATATTAATATATCTAGCAAAATCGGGGAGCTTTATCTTTGTACATAAGAAATAGTGGAAAATAAAAATTAATCTTATTTTTTTGAAAGTATACGACAAGAAATTAATGAAAAAATATATATTTCTAGAAAAATATATAAATTTGTAAGTTTCATAATTTTTCTAAAAATGTGAAACTTCTGGTATGAAATTCAGCATTACGATAAAAAAAATCAATGACAAAGACATCAGATAATGAAGATCTTGAAAATCGAGGAAAAACGTTCTTTGCATGATTTTAACTCAATACAAATTTTACTAAATTTTTCTTAGCCATTCTATACTTTACTCTTATTAATCATAGTAAATACTGTGAAGCAATAATTTTTTTATGTCATCAAACAAATGTGTATCATATTATAAAAAAAAAATTTCTTATTTTGAAACAATCATTTGATACTTTTTGTAAGCTGCAGGTAGGATCTTCAAAGAAATCTTCTAATATTTACATAAGGTAATAATCTTTTATCTTATTATATATGTTATTTGATTTTTATTTATTATTTTTTACTTTATTATAAACAAATATTCGATAAAATCTTATCAATTTCAAAAAAATTAAATTATATGAAATAATTTAAAATATTTTATAATCAATAGTATATGCTATCATGATAAAAAATTCATACAATAAATTAAATCATGTAAAAATAAAAATTACCAAACAGTATATTTGAAAAATCATCAAAAACTGTTAAATTAGTTTATCTAACATAATAGAAAAATAACATGAAAAAATTCCTAAGTTCTTTCAATTTATTTGAAATTATTGAACTTAAAATTTAACTTCATAATAATCATTGCAAAATGTGAAAGTTAGTGTCCACTGCTGCTAGACCAATGTGACTCGCCCAATTTCAGCTAAGCGTCCCATCTTGAATCTCTAAGTTTTAACTCAATCGTTAGATCACATGCTAATTCTCTCCTGAAACATAGAAAGAACAATGCATCGGCTGCTGGACGAGCTGAAATTCACACTGTATTAACATTAGCAAGCTGTGGTTTGATTATATAATCAATTATGCCAGCATAGGTGACAGACATGTCATTTTTTCGTCTTATTTAAAATCTCTCTTTGACTTTTCAAGATCATGTATTTAAATGTTTTATTTAAAGAAAAACATATTAGTTCAAAGTTCATAGCAATTGCGAACATGAAAGCGAGCCATGAATTACAACTCCAAAAACCAACGCTTATCTCTCACTTTAAGGTATCAATTGTTGAATATTCGCTACAATAACCGCATATACACACAAAAGAAATATGTGGCTCACGTCTACATCAACATCTATGTGTTTTTTAACAAAAAAATTTAAGTATCAATCAAAAGATTCTGTCAATTTTTTTATTGAAAGTTTAACAAATCTGATTATTTTTTGAATTGACTAATCATAGTTTCAGAAAAAATTAAGTATATATCCAAAAAAAGTCATATAATCTTATGATATTACAAATAATAAGAAGGTTAGAAATTGAAAATAAAAATCATATTTAACTTTGAAAAAAATTTCAAATTAAATCACTGTGAACATTAAAAGCATATACTTCATTCACATATATATATATAAGTATAAGTTTTAGATAAATATATGATTTTCTAAAAAATTAATTAAAATGTTAATATTATTTTTACAAATGAGTTTTTTAATCTAATAACAAATATTATTTTATCATATAAGAATTGAAGATTGATCTTATTATTTCATTTTACTTCTTAAAATTTCATATTTTGAAAAAAAATTCAAAAAAATTCAAAAATTATCATATAATAAAGTGTTTTTAATATCACAACTTTCACAAACAAACTAAAAATCTAAAAATAAAACTAAAAATAAAACTCAAGATAAAACTAAAAATCAAGATAAATTATGCAATATTGTTAACATGCTATCCAAAACCCAAAATGATTGTTTGACATTGAGGGTTTTATTAAGATAATAGAAGTAAAGAGAAAAGACAAAGATTTATCATTTGATTAGTATTTCATAATGAAGATAAACTCATATCAATTTTATATATAAGATACAAAAATGTTCGAAAATACATTTTGAACCAAGATCAAAAATAAAAATATTATTTCAAATTTATCGAATATTTTTTGAAACAATTTTATTTTTTTCTCATCAATCAAAGAGACCAGCTTCAAGTTTAACATTAAGAATTTCAGATTTTGATCATAAATAATAATAAAAAACTGATAATTAATTTATTTCATGATTTTAATATATAATCAAATATAATAAAAAAATTGATTTAAAATCAATGTAAATAAATTGAATATTATAGAATGTCTTAAAAATTTTATTTTTTTATTTACAAGTAAAATTATCTAAATTTTAATCTTGGTAGAAGTAAGTATGTATATATAATGGAATAATGACATCAAGAAATAATGTGTCAAATCATAATTTCAAATCATAAGAAATAATGTTGTCACATCATAATATCATTATTATATTTAATCTCATATTTTTGTGGGTTTTCAGTTCAATCGCAAACGTACAATCCATATATTTTGACTTTTATGCTCGATTTTTTGATAATATTACGTACAATTTATTTATAAATCATTATCATCAATGTTAACGGCAGAAGTACAATAACATGTTGCATTACAATTGCATACGGAGTTTCAAGAAAGCAAGATGTCAAACACATATAATATTTTTGTTGAGAAAAAAGAATAGATTTTGTGAGACATATCATCAACATACTTGCGTATACATATGCTAGATGAGATATGATAGTAGGGCATACAAACAAACGAGATTACAAAAGAATCAAATTAGGAAGGAGGTTTAAAATCCCAGAAGTAAAGAAAATTTTGGATTCAGTGACCGAGCGCAAGATATCAAAATTTGCACGAGAGGTTGATGGTTGGCTTGTTAGCGAGTGTTTGTATCTAAGCACGGATGAATTTAGAGCCAAAATCTGATCATTTGGTTTGGAAAATCATTTCTCGATGGCTTGTTCTAAATTAGACTGTTCGACTCAAAGCTATGAACTTTACATCCAAAACAATTTGAATTCTCGGCTAGAAGCATTCATAGGCATGGAAATTTAAGACTCTAAACTTTAGAGACAAACAATTTAGCTCTTTTGTTGCTTATGATGTGAAATTTTTGTGAAATGTGGTTTTTTAAATATGACGACTAGTAATGTTTGAGGTCTATGTTGGCTCTAAATGTATGGATGTATATATATATATATATATATATTCTGGAGAAAATTTTCTTTCTAGTTCTTTCATGAGTGTGGAATAAAAATCACAAGAGTACTACGATTGAAGTAAGATTGATATGATAGGATTTTATGTGAAGATTATGAGTCTGGAGAGAGACTGAAAGAGTAGTCAGTGGTGTGTTTTAGTCTACGGTTTCGAACAGTATTATGGAAGGAAATGAAGCATAAAGTCTATAGTGTATCATGTCCACCGCCATGTATTTCAAATGTCAAGTCAACTTGG